ACATGATATCTAAAAGGAGGAAACAAATCAACACCACCCAGTTTATGCAAAAACCTTTGGCAGGTTATGCTGTGGTATTCTGTAGTGCAGATCTGGGGGAAGAATGTGGGTCTTCGGGCCAAACTCAATTCTCAGTTATGTTACACTGAACAGAGTTACTGCGGACTTAAATCTGCAGAAGAAAGAGCAGAGCAAGATGTGATCATCCTTTTATGCCTTCCTATTCTATATTTATTTGCATTACAATGCGTAACCATAAGAAGTGCTCAGACTGAAAATACACAGCAATAGACAGCAAATCACAATATACATCTCACATGCCAATTAATGATACTGTGGCTCAGAATATAATAAGATTTTTAAGTGAAGTAAGTCTTATAGACCAGTGGTCACGAATGACGCGTGCCCCGGAGGCTGGGGGGGGCAGGGCGTGGCAAGCTCCCACAGGTGGCAGCGGGAGCATGGCGGAGGCAAGCGGGGACCTGCCACAGGCAGCTGCAGCGCTGCTGGCGGTGGAGGGGGGAAGTGGCGAGCAATGACCAGTGGTCAGCGACCGCCCACAGACACTGCTGGCCATGTCGGCGGTGGCCAGCAGTGATCAGGGACTGCCCATAGACACTGCCGGTAGTGTCGGCGGTGAAGGGTGTGTGGTTTCACAGGGGGTGCACCGTCATGCTCAAGGGGTGCATGTGCACCCCCTACACATCACCAGTGCCAGTGGTTTTTAACTTTTTTTCATTTGTGGACCCCTAAAGAACTTCAAATGGAGGTGCAGACCCCTTTGGAAATTTTTAATGGAGGTGAAGATCCCTTTGAATTGTAAGTCTGGTATTCACATACTTTTGATTGATCATAGTCATCTTTCGCAGACCCTTAGACAGTCTGTGGCCTCCTGGAGGTCTGCAGACCACAGGTTGAAACCACTGTTATAGACCATCTTTACACAACAATATTGCTGACAAGGTAACACATCTTCTCCACTGCTAGTTACCTTCAAAATAGTCTGGAGTGGTACAATTTTTCAAATAAATGATAGCTCATTGTCTTGCGCTGAGTGAAGGGACTGCTTCTTGTTGAGAATTGGACACATCCTGTCACTTCTACCATCTTGTCTGCCAGTCTCTCTTGGCCTTATTAGCTTATCTACCCAGTAGGTCTTGTCCTTTAGATGGAAAATCTTTTGCAATAGGGACTGCCATTCCCTATGCAAACATAATTGCCCATCCCAAAGGGTCCTGACCTATGCGCCAGAAGTATAAAGGTTAAATAAAAATATATGAGTAAACAAAGATTTCTGATTTTTATTTTATTTTAGAGTCTATGCTTCTAAAAAAAACAACCACCAAAAAGTCTAAGACTTAAGCATAAAGTATGCTTTTTCATCATAAAAACAGCTTGTCTGTGAAGGAAGGACAGGAGTTGGGTTAATCTAAGTTTGTGAACTTCAAACCCTACTTGGATACTGTCAGGATGCCAACATGAAACGATGAACAGTGTTTAAAAATGCATGCAGCCTGCTGGATCCCAGGCACGCTCACTTCCCTCTCCTCTCCGGTCAACGCATCTGGCTCTGCTGAAATGGAGGGAAGTCCTTCTATTGACTTTGGCGCACGTGTAAGCAGCCCAACAGGTATAAGCGAGGACAGAACGTGGGCCCCTGACGCAGTTACTTTCTTTATGTTCTTTAGGCTAGTCCTTTCAAATCAGTCCTTCCCTGACACACAGCTGAGGCCTGAGAGAGGATGGAGGTTGTGGGTGGGGGGAACAGAAATGTCCCCAGATCTTGCAAAAATGTCTTTATTGTTTCCATGCCCCTCTCCTTTGCAGTGGTTGCTGTGAAAAAATAGATGCATAAAGTAGGATTTATTTTAAATGGCTGCTATGAGCTGCTGAGCATGTTTCTGGCAGATGCTGCTGGAAAATCAAAGATACCCATATTGTGCAACTTTTTGTAGCCCTGTAGGAGGGAAAGACTGAAACCACTCTCAGCCCTGACAAGTCAGAATATAACTAGGTTAAGAGATCTAGTTTAGATCATTCAGATTTTGAACCTGGTTACAGGGAAGTGGTCAGATGATGGCGGTACTAGTACATTTGAAATCAGACATGCTGTAAGCAGAGACCCTGACTCGGTTCTGGCTTCCACAGGACCGAGCTGCTACTTTTAGACCCACATGTACATTCCCTAGCATTTAACACTCCTAAATTTTGAGCTGCTAATTAATGCAAGATCACTCCTGAATGCATGATAGACAAGGCCAGCACCTTGATTAAGGTAACTGCACAAATCGATTCATAACTCTCCCTCCAATGTCAGACCTTACAACGACAGGCTGAGAGCCATGGGGCTCTTTAGCCCGGAAAAGCACAGGCTCAGGGGTGATCTGGTGGCCACCTACAAGTTTATCGGGGTGACCACCAGGATCTGGGGGAACGTTTGGTCACCAGAGCGCCCCAAGGGATGATGAGGTCAAACGGTCATAAACTACTGCGAGACGGTTTCACGCTGGACATAAGGGAGAATTTCTTTACTGTCCGAGCCCCTGAGGTCTGGAACAGCCTGCTATCGGAGGTGGTTCAGAGAACCTACATTGAACATCTTCAAGAGCAAATTGGATGCTTATCTTGCTGGGATCCTATGACCCCAGCTGACTTTCTGTCCTTTGGGCGGGGGGCTGGACTCGATGATCTTCCGAGGTCCCTTCCAGCCCTAATGTCTATGAAATCTATGAAATTTCCATACTACAGAAGTGTAAAACTAGTCATTCCCCACAATTTCCCCTACACTTTTATTTTTCTCAGATATATTTTATAGGCTTTGCTTCCACTGGCCAAAACAGATACTTTATAGCACCGGAAACCTCACAGGACTGATGCTGAACACGTACATGGCTACAAGTGGCACCTTAAAGACTGATTGTATGTGAGGCCTGTGGGTGACTCAGCAGGTGGCAGCCTGCACAGGTGTGACACCCTCCAAGCGTTAAAGAGGACTGGGTTGCTGAGTCTTTCCAATGATAGAGCCACAATCACGGGGTGCTGCTTTTAAAGTCCCACAGTGCCTTCTCCTGCAGCGGGAGCAGTAACCTCAGGCGCACCGCCCAGCTCCTGGCTACCTCAGTATAATGCCTTGTTGAGTCAACTGGAAGTCGCATTGTTATTTCCTTCTGGTCTTAAACTTCCCAGGGCTGCCAAACAAATGGGCAGCTCTTCAGCTGGTGGCCAGCTGAGATGCAGCCCTCCCCACCGCCTGCTGGGATCGTTCTTAAAAAAGCGTCTAGGAGCGCAGGCGCTGACCCCAAGAGCGCACGGCCTAGGCCCAGGGTTGAGCGGAGCACCAAAAACACCCACAACCTTGACTCCCAAGCTGTCGGTGTGGTGCGGGGTGGCAGGGTCGCTGCAAGGGGCGCCAAGCAAAATGCTGACAGCGGGTTCGGAGGGCTCAGGGGGGCCCAAGCTGTCCTGGCTCCTGGCCCGCCAGGCCTGGCATTCAGCACCTCTGCCCCCACGCATCCTCCGCCAGCCTCTGCCCCGGGCCGGGGGCGCAGGGCTGCGGCCAGCAGAGCCAGCTGCGCGGGGTGGCGCGGGGATCGGCGCGGGGCGGGGCGGCCGTACTTCCCCTGCCTCCGCTGCCGCCGCCGCTGCAGTGACAACAGCCTGATTTCCCCGAAATGATGGTGGCGCAGCG